TTAAATAAAATTATTATTCCATGAATTTCATACATATAAAATTATTGTTGAATTATAATAATTTTATTATAAAATTATTGTTGAATTATATATATGAGTATGTTATTTTATAATTTGTATTGTTTTAAATTATTAAATATAAATTTTAAATTGAAAAAGAGTTTCAATATCAAAGGTTCTCTTCAATTTAAAAATTAACATTTTATAATTCAAATTATAAAACACTTTATTATATATACATTTTACAATTTCAAAATATTTTTTTATCCTCAGCGGAACTACTTGTGCAAATTCAAGCTTGTCCGCACACCTATGACTAGCTCAACTTATTTATAATATTATCTCAATTACCAAATTACTAGATGCACAGATGGACTCATAAAACAATATCATTCAACCACCTTAAAATTAACATACTCAATAGTCAGATGCCAACAAACCGACATGACCAAGCCTTATGTACAGAAAATCTCCCATCTTCGGAAACAATTTCTTCACACGGTGAGCCCACCTCGGATTCATTTGCTTTGAAGAATAGACTCAATAGAGGCCATGGAAAAGTCATAGAAGAAAACTGTGGAATTATGGAAATGTCAAAAAGTTCTAGCTAGATCCGTAGAACAGAAAGGATTTGGGTTTTCTTATCATGTTAAATAAATTTGATTTTGTGAAGGTGAATTTGTTATAAATTTGGTATTGTTTTATGCCATGTCCATGGCATCATATGCCAACATTAACTATTACTTTGTGAACCATATAATCGTTTGCATAATGTTAATTGTGTGGCAGGTTCTATTGCTGCAGAAATTAAAATCGTCGCAAAAACTATGAGTTTGAAGGTTCTATTGTAGAAACAAGGCACTTTCTTGCATTTGGTATTATTATTACCTCCTTTACATTTCGGCATGCACATCAACAGTGCTGTGCCGATCCCTTCCCCTTCTTGCGCACTGAAAAAGTCCATTGCCTTGACTTGTTCAGGGTTAAATGGCCTGGAGTTGTTGAGGGCTATGGCCTTTTCCAAGTCTTCTAACATTAATTGCCTAGCCAGACGGCCTTCTCTTACCGATGACCGCATATCGGTTCTGCATCATGAATAGTCAGATGCCAACAAACCGACATGACCAAGCCGTATGTCCGGGAAAATCGCCCATCTTTGAAAACAATTTCTGCACACGGTGAGCCCAACTCAGATTCATTTGCTTTGAAGAATAGAGACTATGGAAAAGCCATAGACGAAAACTATGGAATTGTGGAAATGTCAAAATTTCTAGCTAGACCTGTAGAGAAGAAAGGGACTATATTTACATGTAGCACGAGCCTTGTTTTTCGCAAAAAAAATTTGAAAGTCTGCTTCTTATATCCGTACGTGTTAACTATGGATTTGCTTCTGCATTTTTTCTCTGTTTCATTCTAGTTTTCCTGCTGCCAGTTTCAGTTGTAGCTCAAATACATAAGGAAAATATCCTACCTCCATTCACACATATGGAATTCAACAATCTATTATTCCATCTTCTAGTCTAAGATTCTTAGCCAGTTGGTAATTTGGCCAATTCAAGGTCCTATCTCAGACCCCCTAAACTGAAATTTCCATGCTGAAAAACGCGTTGGAATGCCTGAATTTTTTCCACAAACTCCTTTCCTTTCCTAAAGCTAAAGATAGGAAAAGTCACAATTTGTTCTACAGGAATAGAACAAACTAGGGACTATATTTACCTGCTGCTACAACCGTGCTTTTTGCACAAAATTTCAAAGTCTAGTTCTCAAATCCTTGTTAAACCATGGCTTTTGCTTCTCCACATTCTCTATGTATCATTCTACTTTTCCTGCTGCCAGTTTGTGTTTTAGCTCAAACATCTCAGAATATATCATTGAACTCCTCATTAACTGCAGCACTTGATAAAAACGATTCCTGGAAATCTCCATCTGGAGATTTTGCATTTGGATTCCAGCAAATAGAAGCTGGAATGTTCTTGCTAGCCATATGGTTTGACAAAATACCTGAAAAAACCATTGTTTGGTCACCCAAAGGTGGAAATCTGGTGCAACAAGGTTCCACAATTCAACTTACAACAGATGGCCAGTTCAGGCTCAATGACAGCCAAGGAAAGCAAGTGTGGTCAGCTAACTTGGCTGGCTCTGGTATTGTTTCTTATGCGGCTATGCTCGACACTGGGAACTTTGTACTGGCAAGCCAGGACTCCTCCAATTTGTGGGAAAGTTTTGATGAGCCGACTGACACAATACTTCCCACACAAATATTAGACGTACGCAGCAGCAGCCTTGTTGCTCGTTATTCAGAAACGAATTACTCCAACGGAAGGTTTCGGATGCGGTTAGATTCAAATGGAAATCTTGTACTTTCTACAGTACATTTCCCACAGACTTCACCAAATCGTGATTACTGGTCAGCTAACAATAATGGGGGTGGCTTTCAGGTTACCTTTAACCTGTCTGGCTACATCTACCTAGAAGCTGAAAATGGAAGCATACTCAGCTCTATAACATCATTTAAAGCTTCTACTAGCAACTTCTACCAGCGAGCAATACTTGAATATGATGGTGTCTTCAGACTATATGTGTATCCAAGGAACAATAGTGCCACTGATGGAAAGCCTATGGCTTGGTCGACGTTATCTTTTGTCCCAGAAAATATTTGCAATAGCCTCATAGACCAACAACAAGTCGAAGTTAGTGGGTTTTGCGGGCGCAACAGCTACTGTATTCAAGGAGATGATAAGAGACCTAAATGCGATTGCCCACCTGGATACATATATTCCGATCCAGAAAATAAAATGAATGGATGCAAACGGGATTTTGTCTCACAAGAGTGTAACGGAGACCAAGATGCAGATCATTTTGATATGCGGCTGATGATGAGCGTAAATTGGTGGGGAGGGGATTATGAACGTCACAATAACGTTAGTGAGAGTTGGTGTACACAGGTATGCTTAAAAGATTGCTATTGTTCTTTTGCAATCTATAATGCAGATAAGGAATGTTGGCTGAAGAAGAGTCCTGTTTCAAATGGAGTGCTTGTTAATGATTATGGAACAAAAGCACTGGTCAAAATAAGGAAAGACAATTCCACCACAACCGCTGCCAAGCCGAATTCAACATCGAATCTTATTCTAAAATGCTCTTTATTAGTTCAGCATTTTTGAACCTTGTTCTGTCGATTGCTACTCTTTGGATTGTTTTCAGGAAAAGAAGGATCATTCAGCCATCCGGAGAAATCCAAGGCGTAAATTTACGAAGCCTCACTTACAAGGAACTTGAAGGAGCTACAAATAATTTTAAAGAATAGCTTGGAAATGGTGCTTGTTCAACAGTTTACAAAGGAATTCTTGCCATTGATAACAACCAATGGTAAGAATTCTTGAACTCTGTTGATGTTGTTAGGCCTCTTCTAGATGTTGGGTGAAGAGTTAGAACTCTACTTCGCGTTCACCAAGCTAAATTCTTGAACCCTTGTGTGTTTATGTTTGTTAAGTCTGTTACTTGTTCCATCTCTAGCTAGTGTCGTGTATGCTTATGAATAAGGTTGACTGCGTTACTCAATCAAGTCAAGGTTACACACATTTTACAACCAAATAGAAAAATTGGGATAACTAATCCACTTATTAGCCATATGCAGAATTCTTGATATATAGTTTTTAGTAAGGTTTTGTAAAGAGTATTCCTTGTGGTTTCTCTCAAAAAATAAAGAAAAACCACAGAAACATTACAATTTCAATCAATGCGAAATCAGAATTGAAAATTTTCCAATTTCAGAAACTGAGTTCCATGTGAAATAGGTGCATGATGATGAAGAGAAGATGAAAGACAGAGCAACTCCTTCAAAATATAATTAAGTCAGACCCGTAAAAATTTCAGAAACTTCAACAGAAATGGCGGCTCCGATGAGAAAGCGCTGAACAGAGAAAGAAAACGAAGTGAAAGAAGGACAGAGTCATGATTGAAACAGAGGGTGAAGAACGGACCAAGAATGAAAAAGAAACCTGTGAGTGAAAGTGATTAAATTGAAAGATGGCTTGAAACATTAGAGCCGATGTTGAAACTTGAAAGAAAACAAACGGGGGAAAAAAAAAAAAGGAGAATACATTAATTATATAGGAATTATGTCTTAAAGTATGAAATGTAATAAATTGTAAAATAAGTACCATTAAATTAAAAAAGAATTTTAAATATTGAAGAACTTAATATTTTTTTAATAGTTAATATAATATAATTCAATATATTTTAAATTGTATTACACTTTTTTGAATTATATATATGAGTCTATTATTTTATAATTTGCATTGTTTTAAATTAGAAAACAAAAATTTTAAATTGAAAAAGAATTCCAATATCAAGGAGTTTTCTTATATTTAAAAATTAATATTTTATAATTCTAACTATAAAACACTTTATTATATATACATTTCACAATTTCATTATATTATTTTATCATCACCGAAACTACTTGTGCAAATTTAAATTTGTCCACACACCTATGACTAGCTCAACTTCTTTATAATATTGTCTCAATTACCAAATTACTAGAAAACTCATAAAAACAATTTCATTCAATCACCTTAAAATTAATATACACCATAGTCGGATGCCAACAAACAGAAATGACCAAGTCTTATGTACAGAGAATCTCCCATCTTCGGAAACAATTTCTTCACACGGTGAGCCCACCTCGGATTCATTTGCTTTGAAGAATAGTGGCTCTAGAAAAGTCATAGAAGACAACTATGGAATTATGGAAATGCCAAAAAGTTCTAGCTCGACCCGAAGAACAGAAAGGGACTATATTTACATGTAGCCCGAGCCTTGTTTTCTGCAAAAAATTTGAGAGTCTGCTTCTTATATCCGTGCTAACTATGGATATTGCTTCTGCATTTTTTCTGTCTCATTCTAGTTTTCCTGCTGCCAGTTTCTGTTGTAGCTCAAATACATAAGGAAAATACCCTACTTCCATTCACACTTATATGGAATTCAACAATTTATTATTCCATTTTCCAGGCTAAGATTCTAGGCCAATTAGTAATTTGGGGCCAAAATATAATTCAAAGGCCTAACTTGTGATGTCCCTATGTATCATTATTGGTGATGAGACCAATGATGCCTAATTTAGATTTTGCATAGCATTCTTATTATACAATAAGGTATAATGGTGCTTAACAAAGCAAATGTGATATGCACTCCTATTATACAATAAGATACAATGGGGCTTAACAAAGTAAATGAAATATGTATTCCTATTATACAATTATGGTATAGTGGTGTATGATGAAAAAATAATAAGTCATTTGAGAAAAGTGGAATGTGATGGACATTCCTATTGTACAACAAGGTACAATGGTGTTTAAGTAAAAAAAAAATTCTTAAATACATGTCTCTACATGTATGAAAAGGAAAAATGTGGTTTACTAACTCGATTTGATATCAAAATTGTGGTACCATGAATTGAGAATTTGAGAAATATGAATGTAAATTTTATAAGCTAGTGAACATGTGGGTTGATGTGAAAAAGTGAGAAAAAGAGAATGAGTTGAATCTCTTTTTACCCACAATACCACCAACTAGGTCTTTGGCAAAAACAAATGTTAGAGGAAAAAACTATGATCATAATCCAAGGTCTAGTGCTCATCAAGGGGAATGGGATTCAAGCCCAATAATGTAGAACTTCTTATGAGGATACCCAACTCAAATTTTGAGAATTGGGTTTTGAATGGGAAAAACGAATCATAGAGAAGTCGTTGTTGAAAGATACATCAATATTTTATGAAAAAAAATTTATTGTCCCATTAAGGACTATTCACGCCTCTGCAGAGAGTAGATCAACCGATGCAACAGAGATACATTTAGCATGTCGCCCCCAAGATGCTACAGCGTTATAATAACACTCTATGGATTTGCACTACCCATAGAGTCACCTAATTCAAAACACCCTTCTTTATCCAAAAATATTTTGAAGATAAAGTAAAGTAAGAAAATTAAGAGAATGTGGAGGAACACCCTTTTTGAGCAAAAAGACATGTCCTATTTATAGGACTCATGATCTTGTAACTCTCATTTGTAGGTTAATGATAGGAATAAATTGGGCAATTATTATGAAATAATGTGCCTTTAAGTAAGGTAATTAACTTACAACAGCTAGTTTGCTCAAGTTCTTAATAGAACAATAAATTCAATTAATAACATATATTATTTTATTTTTTTATTAAAATATTTAAGTTCCAACAATTCTCCCACTATTTTAATAAGAAATGAGCTTTTCTTTTGGGCAAAGATGGATTATTATGCATAATAAAGGTAGCTAGGCCTTGAACCTTTACTTAGTGAGTCAACAATTCTTAATCCAAAGTCAGTAGTGAACTAGGTCTTGAACTATGACCCCATTGGAAGATACAAGAATTGTATCAAACACATAATGATCCGAATGTTGAGTTTTTCACACAACTGGTGCATTATAACCTTGTGCATGATTCTGGTTTTCATGGGTGATCTAGAAAATTGCCCATCCAATTTTCATAGAAGCAGCTTCACTTCGACACCCACATAGGTGAAATTTGTCAAGGGTGCTCCTATAATTAAGACATCCAACTCTATGAGTTACAAATTTTATTAAGAGTATAAAACTCAATCCTCAATTTATTATGAGATAGATGTATCCTCACCTTAGGAATGAGATTGATTTTTTTTTTTTTTTTTGGTAAAGAAGGATGTTTTGAGTAAAGTAACTCTATCGGTAGTGCAGATCCATAGAGTATTATTATAAAGCTGTAGTATCTTGGGGGTGACATGTTTTATCTATCTCTGCTGCACTAATTGATCTACTCTCCACAGAGGCGTGAATCACCTTAAAGTAAATAAGATTTTCATGCCTATTTAGATAATATTTTCTTATCAATATTTTTAGATAAATTCACTAATTATTATTTTATTTAATCTTGTAATTGAGACACAATAATAACAAGATGTGAAAATGGAGGAGAGTGCTTGAGAAACAACATAACTCAGACCCCTAAACTGAAATTTCCATGCTGAAAAACGCTTTGGAATGCCTAAATTTTTTCCACAAAATCCTTTTCCTTTCCAAAAGCTAAAGCTAGGAAAAGTCACAAATTCTACAGGCATACAACAAGTTAGGGACTATTTTAACCTGCTGCTACAGCCGTCCTTTTTGCGCAAAATTTCAAAGCCCTAGTTCTCAAATCCCTGTTAAACCATGGCTTTCGCTTCTCCATATACTGTGTCTCATTCTACTTTTCCTGCCTAGGGTAGGGGCTTCCTTTATAGGCCGAATCTTTTTAGGCTGCATGTTGTTAAGTCTTTTCAAAGTCAAATCTGAGCCATTTGGGTCAAACCCAATAACTTCATAAACTGGGCCATTGCCCCGAGAGAGTTCGCCAAAGCTTCGCGCTGGCGGTTAGAAAATCCATATTCCAGCTTGGGACTAGAGGGCAAAAGGTACCCGTTTGCCCCTTAACTTTTCGACTTTTAGGGTTTTTACTCTCCATATTACAATACATGGATTTTTACCCTCAAAGTTTTCGAGTTGAGGAAATGAGGCAAAATTTAATGCCGGAACGTCATGTGTAGCATGTGCACCGTTGGCCTCCGTCAAGTATGCGTATGTCAGCGCCAACTCAGAATTTTTTGACAACCTGGCATGCCAACTTGGAACCCCACTAGCGGGAAGTCTACTTGCTGCCAATTTTTTTGTGGGCCCCACCGCTGACTAAAGGTTTTTTTTTAAAAAAGAAAGACAGATGAATGCAAAGAAATCTATTTAAATGATCCCTAGGGCACAAAGAGTTTTGAGTTTCCTTCTCTTCTCTAATCTTCAGATTCACGCCCATTTCATTTACTTGTTCAATGCCTAGCTCCAGCAGCTCTCACACTTCAGCACCGGTGGAATTTGGAAGACAGGAGTATGATTACGAGGGGCCAAGTCGGTTTTGCTTTTGTGGTTTGAAGGCTTCGAGGATCATGTCTTGGAGCGAAAAGAATCCTGGTCGAAGGTTTTTTGGATGCCCAATCTATGATCCCATGGTAATTTCCTCCCTAATGTTTGATTTTAAACTAGTGTGTTGTTTAGGGGTTTTTTTGTTAAGATATTTCGCAGGTATTGTGTGGTAATGTTTAGGGTTTTGCTTGGCATAAAGATTGGGTTTTGATTAATTGTTAATGAAATGTGATTTTTGGACATTTGCAGAATAAAAAGCGACAGTGTAAGTATTTTGTGTGGTATGATCAAGATTTCTCTTTTAGGGCTAAGGAGGTTATCTCGTGGCTGCACAACAATAAGACAGAATTGGAAACTGATTTGGATGATGCAAGGGAAAGGATCAAAGCTCTTAGGAATGTTTTGAAGCGTTATGAAGAAAAAGGAGAGCAATAGATTGAGGCATTGGAGAAGAAAGTTAATGATTTGCAGATGTTGGCAACAATGACAATGGTGTATGCTGCGAAGCTAGAGAAATAGAAGAAATGTGGTCAAATATCTTTGGTCGTGGCTGTTTTCCTTGCTATTCTACTTGCTTTTTTCTTGTTTAGGAGTTGGGTTCTACTTGTTGATGGGAACAGGGGTTTCAAAAGGCTTGGAAATTAAGAAACT